TCGGTGGATGCAGTCGAGCGTGATAAGCAGTAGCAGTAGCAGCAGCAGCAGCAGTGATGTCAGCAGCAGCAAGAGTTGTTTCAGGATCCAAGTTCTTCCAGGACTATAGCGTAGTGCTTTAAAATGTTGGTTCGTGAGTTTGGTGACATTGTGAGTTCAATACCTGTGCCAGGTACTGCAGATTAGAGTCGGTGGAAACAAAATGAGCAATAACTGAGAAGTAGTTAATAACCCCCCCCCTAAAAAAATCAGACGACATATCCCTAGACATAGGCAGCGGAACGAGAAAAATTTATACCTGTAGATTAAATAAAGGATTCAGGTAATGATGAATGCTAAACACCCGGAGAAAGTCCATGAGAGATCCCAATAACCAAAACATTGTGATAATATATATATATATATATATATATATATATATATATATATACTCGACTCTCCGGTCGAATTAAACATATGAGGGTCAAGCAGATAATTTCCTAGGAACCGACACCAACACATGAGATTTGATTATAGTAGTGAAGGTTTTGTGCAAAACCATCCACACACACACATATATATATATATATATGTGTGTGTGTGTGTGTGTATCAAATTGATCGCTATAGATAAATAATGATGAACAATAAAGGGTTCGAAATCCTTGAAAGTTACCCGGATGATGGCTGGAGGTCACAGTAATAGTAACAGAGAACAGAGGAGAATAATCCGTGTGAAAATAATCTTTGATAACGGTTCATTTAATAAAAAGAAACGAATATAGGCACTAACAGTCGTGGGAAAGGCACGAATCCATCACTGCTTTCCCCAGCAGAGTAACCTGGACATGGTCACGTGGATAATGTGGCGAACTCGATTCGAATTCAAACTCGGTGCTCCGATTCCTTAATCCGATCCGCTATCCATTATCCCACATCACAATTTCCATTACCCCACATCAGAATTTACACAGCTTTGAAGTCTACCTTCCATGCTTTGACAAACGTTTTTGCACAAGCATCTTTGTGTATTCATTTCTTGAAATGCATCTCTGGTGAAACATTTCAAATCACCAACACTTCGTGGTTTGCAACTAAAACCTTGTCCTTGAGTACACCCATCCCCCAAAGATCCATTGAAGTAAAGTCAGGTGAACGTATATATATATATATATATATATATATATATATATATAAACACATCCCCCCAAATCCATTGGCGTAAAAGTCAGGAATGAATGTATATATATATATATATATATATATATATATATATATATATACCTGACTTTACGAACAATGGATGGATTATATAATGGATGGATTTTGATGGGGAATGAATGTAATCAAGGACAATGATTCTAGTCGAAAAACACTAAGTGTTGGTGATATATATATATATATATATATATATATATATATATATATATATATATATATATATATATATATATAAAAATCAAAAACATTAATATTCCATTGTTATAATTTATTGCTTTGGGATCGTAATCATCAGACCTACAAATTAAAATGAATTTGGAGGTCTGATGATTTGATCGTGATTACGATTCAATGCAATACATTATAACCATGGAATATTAGTGTTTGAGCCTTTTTATTATTATATTCTTACTCTGTCCTGGACATTGAGTTCTACCTGGATTTTATCCTCTTGAAATTTATATATATATATATATATATATATATATATATTGACCACTAATATTATATATATATATATATATATATATATATATATATATATATATAAGCAACGGGACGAGAAATCGGTGAAATTCCAGTTAAATTCGTTAAATTCCCTATAGCGTAAATACGTTCGTTAAAATATATCGTTGCATCAATAACAAAGAAGATTGCTCTTTGCTTGAAGATAATTTAAATTCATTTTCAATTTGGTGTACGTTATGGCATCTAAAATTCAATATGGGAAAATGTGTTATGGTGAAGATCAGAAACAAATAGTATTACACTTACAAACCAAATGGAATTTGCCTTTAATCAAGTGAAAGAACAAAGAAATTTGGGTATTTCAGTTTTACGTTATTTATCTCCAAGATCTCAAAAAAAAAAAAGATAAAAACTCTTTACACAACATTTATTCAATCAGTACACGAATATGCAACTGTTATCTAGAGTCCAAACTACAAAAAAAAAGAAAAAAAAGATGTCGACTCATTACAATCTGTCCAGTCTAGCTAGAGTCGATATCAAGCTATCATCTCTTCAGTCAAGACTCCACTTCACCAATCTATGTGAGGTATGCACAATAGTGAATGCACTTTTTTTTTTATCACTCCATGCAAGTCTGTAAAGCCACTAAGACACAAGGGGTCACAGGGTGTGGAAGAATTAGTAACAGAAACATTAATAATAAGCGGGAAGAGGAAAGAGTAATCAGGAGGACAGTAGATACCGATTGACATTGCATTTAAATTTTTGCAGATTAAAGTTGGCTGGAAAGCATATTACATGGAAAGCCTATTTTAAAATGCAGATGAACAATTTCTTCACCTTCTCAAACATAATCACATAAGTTCAGGAAACGGCACTGGAAAAATGTTGCAAGATCCAACTTATTTACCCTGTAGAATGTGGGCGGGCCTTTATATCTTGCTTCGGTTGGGTTTGGCCTGGTTGATTTTGTTAAGCGACCCATTCACCCGTACAAGTTATTTAATGCCGAAATCTAAATATGAAAATTTATGAAAATTCAAATTTTAGAATTAATCCAAGAGAATGAGATTATTTCATGATCAAATTATAATTACTTAGCTGTATTTTTTTTACCAAATAATCTTATAAAGTCAAACAAGGAATAAAAACTTGTTTCCCTTTACAAGAAATGAAATTAATCAGAGCAAATTGTTATTTTTTAATAATCTATGCCTTGTTTTCAATTTCATTATAAAATGTACTGATTGTCCTTTTGCTATTAAAATATATTGTTGGCCATTATATATATATATATATATATATATATATGTATATATATATAAAGGCTCTTCTATGAATTGAGCTCTCTCGGACACTAGCGTGTTTATTAAAAAAAAAAAAAAAAACGCAAAAATTCACCTTCCTCTCTACCGGGCGCCGATAGCTTAAGAGTAGAATCCGTAAGCTATCGGCGCACGGCTTGAAACAATAAGATGTCTAGCCACGCTGATGAGCTGTGATACAGCGAAACAGTCTGTCTGTGGATAAAATATATATATATATATATATAAAAGCAACAAAATGAAGATGATTATTACTCCGATATGCACAAAGGCCAATAGATTACAATACTGACACAAAATGAATGAGATATAGGTTTTGAGGGCCAATCAATAATTTCGTAGCCGTACATGTTAAATACATTGAATTTCGATCTGATATGTTTATTGTATAATGTTCGACCCCTGCGATTAATATTCTTCATTGAATTAAATGCATTGACAAGGAAAAAGATAACGAAGAAAAATGCATATTGATGTGTTTAAAAGGATAGATTGCTGTAAATAGACCGAGATAAATAGATAGACATCTCTTTCATAGAATGCGATGATTGGTCGCTTATATCTTTTGCACCAGGCAAAGTAGTTCAGTCTGTGAGGCAGTGACTCTGGTTGTGCGGCAGGCTGGATATGGGCGGATGGCTACCGTATTTTTTGTGTATAACACAACGTGAGTATAATACGATCCCGTAATACAGCCATCTCTATGTTGTTGTTTTTTAATTATTATTTAATTAATTCACCCCACGCAAGGGGATAATGCTACTAAAAAACAAGAGAGTGAAAAGGAATGAGAAGACTTTAGAAGGAACCGGAGACCCAAATCTAAACAGGAAACAAGGAATAAACTTCTACTCTTGTTCAAAAGACAGAGGAAGAATGTAATTTATTCTTGAAAAGTTGTACGATATTATCTATTAAACTCTCAATATAATTATATTTCACTAAAATATTTTTTTAAATTTTTCACGATATAAAAAAAAGCCATTAAAACCTTAACACCCCAGGCAAGGTTTTGTATGTCACACTAAATGGCTACGGGTGTAGTGACTCGATAAGATGAAGAACTAACCGGCATTTAACTTTCAGTATTTCAACAACCAAACTCGTATCATTTTATCATCACTGATCAGAAACCGATTTGGAATTGGACATAGAATATGCTGTGCCAGAGGTAGTTTCACACAATGCTGCAAGTTACTACAAAACCAAAACATTAACCTTAAAACTCAAGTTATGTTCTTAAATAGCCTTATCAGATCGAGACCTTCATAGAGATGTCATGTATGGCGCCAAACCAGTTCAGAAATGTCTAAACTGTCAACTGTATACAACTGCTTTCTAAAGAGCAATGATTAAAAATTGCTTTGAGCAAGTGAAGCCTATGGGTATTGGCGAAGACCATTCTTTTTCGAATCTTGTGGACTAGGCCTACATAATCACAAAGAACTGTATTGACTGCTTGGTCAATGAATGCCGAATGTTTCCTTATAAGACAACGACTAATATTGCCATTACCATTATGTCAATCAGATCTTTATATTATATCGACTTAATCTATACCATCAAAATTATGGCGTATATGAAAACGAAAATTTTAAAAATCTTAACTGTTCTTCGAAGGTTTTCACATGTGTGTCATTAAATATGTTTTCCGATTATTAGAGAGGGATCAGTTTACTACTTAATAACAACAGAAAACTGACCCTCCTCTTTATGTACCACAGTACAAAAGGCGGGTCAGTTTCTTTTGTATAACAGGCTTACGGCCATATAACATGTTGAATTACCGAAGTTAAGTAACGTCGAACCTGGTCTGTACCTTGATGGGTGACTGCTTGTGAATACCAGGTGCTGCGCGGGTTGTCTTAAAGGGCCTACAGCCATATTACGTTGAAACACCTGTTCCTGTATGATCCCCGAAGTTAAGCAACGGCGAGTCTGATCGGTACCAAGATGGGAATGCCAGGCGCTGTAAGCTTGGAGGTACGAATGGTGTAATGGACGTACGCCCACATCACGTTGAAACATCGGTTCCCATACGATCACCGAAGTTAAGCAACGTCGAGCCTGGTCTGTACGTTGATGGGTGACTGTTTGGGAATATTAGGTGCTGGAAGCTTCGATCTGCGGGTGGTGTAATGGACAATGGCTGGGAATTGTTAAATTTCCAATTCCCGTTGGGTTCTTTATATTCACTTACGTGCAAATACTCTTGAGGAACGTACTGATCCACCTCTTCTCCCCCAGCTATGGGTTAATTAGTAAAACTTGTACCACTAAATGAATATCTTTAAAATAAATTACAATCTAAAAATATTTTCTGGTTTTAAATAACCTGCAAAGGGTTGATAAGCCTTAGAAAGCAAATCAATCAATCAATGAAATACTGATTAGCGACACAGGCATGTCTTTTAGATTTATTTACATTCTCTGGTATATAAATATATAGAAACTACTCTGACTACAAAGTGAGGGATCAGTTTATATATTGGTTGTAATGTAGTATTGATCCCCCACTTTATATCTACATTATAATTTCTTGTTTGTTGATAAGCCGTAGAAAACAAATCAATCAATCAATGAAATACTGATTAGCTACACAGGCATGTCTTTTAGATTTATTTACATTCTCTGGAATACAAATATATAAAAACTACCGTGGCAACAAAGTGAAGGATCAGTTTACATATTGGTTGTAATGTAGTATTGATCCCCCAATTTATATCACATTATAATTTCTTGTTTGTTTATCAAACTCTGATTTGGTATGTAACTACCTCTTCTCCCCGCCCCCAATTGTATCACTAATTATTATCTAAAAAAATTCTTAGAATATAAAAATATTATCTGGCTTTAAATAACCCACAAAGGGTTGATAAGCCGTAGAAAATGAATCAATCAAAATTATTTTATAGCGTTTGTATTTGATTTAAAGTTTAAACATGTTCTTATTGCGTATGTGCTGTGTGTGTATGTATGCGTTGTGTATGTACATATGCGCTTTGTGCGTATATGCCCTGTGTGTGAGAACAGATATATGCGCTATATTATAAAAGTGGCTTTCCTGCTGTTTGGTTTTGTATATTATTTGACCCACATATAAAATAATGAGCTGCTTTCAGGCTCGCCTGTTGCTTGTATTTTTGTCAACTGTTACTCCTCTCCTCCGAGTCAAAGGCTACCTATCAACTTCCTTCAAATTGCTATAACTCTCCAAAGAACAAAGACATTTTTCTAGTGTTGTTTATAGGTAACAGGGACAAATATTTAAAAGATGTAATTCAAGAGCGAACAATGAATTTCAACGCAGGGTTATTGCGCAAAACCTTGCATCAAGTAAAAAGAAACTATTATCAGTTGTCCAAGCGAGTTGTTTTAACGCTTATTTAAACTAGGATATTTATTTATTTAGGGTAGGTACCTCTGAGGATTCCTTAAGATATGAGCATACAAGATGAAAAATGCCAAAAGCCTTAATAAAAACAAAGGTTTATCGTCAAAATCTTTGTTATTATTAAATCGAAATACCAAAGGATACTTTTATGCAAAAATTCTTCCTTTTTATAAATTTTTTTTGGAAATTTTGCTTAAAAATCTTATTTCTCTAGCGTCAATATGGAGCCTTAACTTTGTATGGGAAATTTGAGTGACTTCATGTGACGGCAAATACATTGATTTCGAAATTCTTGCAAAAATCAGATAATTGTCGAATTTTAAGGAAATTTTCAGAACTTATTCAAAAATGAATGAAATTATTTTTGAAACGTTTCTATTTTAGATGTTCATAATATTTTATTTTATTTTTTTGCATTTGTTAAACCAGATTTATTTAATTTTATAAAATTTCAAAAATACTTTTTTGTAGCGCTTAATGTTTATATTAATGATAAGCACAAGTCCTCGGGGAATTTAAATAATCAAATGTCTTTGGTCAAATGGTCTCTGATTCGTAAAATAAAAATGCAATAAGACTAAGGCATTATTTAATTAGAAATTCATTGGATTGCTTTTACGAATAAGATGTATTATGAACATTATTGAATTAAGAAAATCTTTTGTCTTAAATCCATTTCTATTTTTTGTATTTTTTATTGAATTCATTTTCTACCCGTTTACATGCGGTTTTCTTCGAGTATAGGTTCTGGATTATTCTAATATCTTTGCCAATATGTCAAAGTTACCTAGCATCGTCAACATGTCATTGTGATGTACTTTACCAAACTTTATACATCCGTATACATCCTTTTGTATTTGTATTATCCTTTCTCTTATATCATTCTGAGTCTGTTCCCGTGTCTTTAACGAAGCCGCACTGTTCTTGTCCTATTCCCGGTCTGATTCTGCTGCTCGTCGTATTCATCAGAATTCGGATGATAAGTGTTGTTATATGGCTCATTAGGTTGATTGTCCAATGAAGTTCACATTCATTTGAACCTGGTTTCGTAAGCAGTGCTATGAAAATGCTTCTACTCAGGTCTTCTGGCATATCACCATTGTTGTAGATTACATTTACTATGTCTGTAATCTTGTCATTGCCGAAATCACCTACTAAATCATCTAAGGCTACCAGCATCTCTATTACAATCTTGTCTGGTCCTGTTGCTTTGTTTCTGTTCAATTTGGCCAGTGCTGATTTCACTTCAGATTTTAATATTTCTGCTCCTTCGATATTTCTGTCTTGTCAGTTGTTTTCTTTCGTCTTGGAAGCATTCTCCGATGTATTCGTTCCGTCGATGAAGTGTTTGTTTATTCCTCTAATATCAGTGCCTCATCCTTGGATTTTATGCATCCTGATGACGAACATGTGTTTTGTCCTGTAAGTTCTCTTATTTTTATGCATACCTGCTTTGTCCGTGATACTCGTTCTATTTCTGAACATTTTTCGTTGAGTCATTTCTCTTTAGCTCGCCTGCATTTGTTCCTAATTTCTTTGTGCAGTGTCCTATATTCTGTGTAATACCTTGGTATTGTTTTTTGTCTCCTTGTCATCATTTTGAGAATTTAATTTGTCTTCCATTCTTTTTTTCTTTTTTTTTATCGTCTACTTTTCTTTAGGATCATTTCCGTCATTAATGTTTACTAAAGCTTCCTTTAATGCGCCTCATTTCGTTTCAATTCTCATTTCGTGTATCTGCTTTTAACACTTTCCATAAGTTTCTCCTTCACACTCAGTTAATTCTAAAATCTTGCCTTGGCTTTCTTCATTTGTCGTAGTTTCATTCTAAGTTTACATAGGCGGTCGCTCCCGCAGTCAGCACTTGGATATGTTTTGCAGTGTAAAACTGACTTCCTGAATCTCTTATTGATCGTTATGTAGGCAATTTGTTTAATCGTTTCTCTTGCTGAGTTTCTCCATGTCTATCTACGTCTTGGATGTTCTTGAAACCAGCTGCTCGTTAATATTTGACCATTCGGTGTGCAGCATTCGACCCGTTTGGTCAGTTTTCATTACGAGTTCTCAGTTCGAATTTGCCAACTATTTAACCATCTCTTTCCTTACTTACTTTTGTCATTCAGGTCTCTCATAATGATTGCAATTCCTTGCAATTTACATTGAACCCTGGTGTTGTCTAGCGTAGAGTAGAACTTTTCAATTTTTTCTTCTGTACAAGAAGAGATACGGTGGAGTAATGCATAGCAGCTCGAATTGAGGAATCGGAGAGCCGAGTTCGAATTCCAGTTGAAAAGGTATAAATCCTCTTCTTCTTCTCCACCAGCTATCGGTAAATAGCAAGACACACCGAGTTCTATGGCCTTGGATTGCAACTGGTCTACCGCAGTCTACCAACTGGTCTACCGCAGAAAGAAATGGCAACCTACTGCGTAAAAAAATCTGCCTCGTCAGTCAGATTGTCGTCGCTCGGTGTTGACCTCAGTGTCTACTTCATCATATATATATATATATATATATATATATATATATATATAATTTCTTTGATTAAACGTCATTTTTTAAATGGATACTCATATTTGAGTAGATGCTTTGCTTTTATTTAACAGTATATTTATTAATATAGATCTACCGGCCAAAATATTCTGGAAATCTTGTTAGAAAAATATACGTCCTCCAGTAGGATTCGAACCTATAATTTCCTAGGGGAAACCATCATTATATCTAACAGAGGACCACATATCAAAATATACATATTTGCTCTGTTTTGTAACCTTACGTAAACAGAGACATTTTGGTCTAAGGTACGTCAGATTTAATAAGGTTTCCCTAGGTTTATTTTTGGCCGAGCCCGTCGTCTGTCAGTCAGTCAGAGCGAACGAGTCAGTCGTCGAGTCAGAGGCATCCCGAAACAGAGTCGCGTTCAGACAATTGCTACAAGACATTGGAATAGTGATACTGTTCGAGACTACATTGTTCTCCCTACTAAACCTGATTGTTCGTACTAACCCTTTCTACTTCTCTGTATATATTCCTGTTTGTAATATATCTGTGTTATTCCATATACGTGATCGAGTTCTTCTTTATTGGTTCTACCTTGGACTATCACCGTGGTACAAGGAACCGGACCATTACACACATAGACACACGCACATACAGGTGTACGCATTTTAGTTCACACAAACGCATCCATACGAACAATCCGAGGCCAGGCGCAGAAACACATCCATACGCTCGAGCATACATACATCAAACAAACAAAAAATATAGTCTTAAGGTACGCAATATTTATGGATTAAAGTGTTCAGTATCACTGATAACAGATACCCTGCTTTGATTTCAGTCAAAAGGCCGAGAATTTTATTTATCTGACCTTCCCACTAAGGCAGGATGTGACACAAGGTCTTTTTGTGGGGACGTATAAAACATCGACAAAAACAGCGCAGCTCCCACGACAGCTGTCACACTGGCGTCAATAAGCGATAGGTCTATATCCTAAGATGACAAGGAACAGCAGAAGAGAGGAATACTTTCATAATTGAAGGTTCTGAACAATATCACTGAAGCAGGCACGCCCGATTGAATAAGCTATAGAAGGGGCTTGCCCAACCCTATAGTAATCGGGCTTTAATACATAAGTTATTTGTAAAATCTTTACATGCACAAGTATAGGATTTTTTTAAAATGATTTTTCTCTTGATTTTCAGAAAAGCTATGAAAACAAA